ATTTCCTTACCCGAGAACAGAAAAGTATTACCTCCAATTTCTCTTTTTCTTTGTTCAATTTTATTGTTGCCTCGTTATTTCCCGTCAGATCACCGAACTGATTTTGCCAACAGGCAAACATGCAATGCGTTTTGCAACGTTTCATTACTCTTTATTGCAGGCTCAACAAGCACTCTTGGACAAGTCAAAGAAGCCGTTTAGCATCAGAGCAAAAAAGTTCCTTCCAGTAGAGAAAGCAGAGTGGGTAGGTCTTTTCGAGTCTACAGTCAACATAGAAATGAACAAATTTAATTTTTATTGTTGTTGAAAAAAATTCCTTCTTCTAAGTGGTTACTTCACACTCTACTTCCTCAGTATTGTGTCGTTCTGTAGTCATTCTTCGTCACAACTGAGGCTGAATCTGAGAGGATCCTGCCTCTCTACTTCGCAAAACTCTTGAGAGAGTATAACAGATTACTTCAGATTTCCTCAGTCTTTTGGATTTGAAATTGTTATAGAAGGTTAGCAAAAGTGACTACTCAAGAGTTACGAGATAGGTTTGTACTTGAAGAAAAAGAAAAAGAAAAGGAAAGAAAGTAATAAACAACTGTAAATAGTTTTATTTTATGTAAACTAGTATTTCACACGAAGTATTTTCCAGTTTGAAAAACCGATTACTTCAATGGTCCCGCTAGCATAAAGTTTGAAACTTGAATTCGATGATATTTTCATCCTCTTTGTTGATGTTAAACGAGATGAATTTGACCAATTTTTTAACTCTTTAACTCCCAGTTCAAATTCTTAATTCTCCTTACTGTCAACCATACAATTCTTGAAATGTTAGTTCAGGGAATTTAGTATCACCATTCTCATCACTTGTCTGGTTGATACTGTATTGATATTGTAAGGAGAAATTCTGTCTTGGTCACTCATGGGAGTTTAAGGGTAAACAGCAAGACAAGTAAGATCAAAGGGCAAAGATGCTGTACTCATTATCAATCAAGGATTATACAAGCTGAATGCTTGATGCATTATTATGGACTTTTACTTATGGTCTGCTAGAGGACAGACATGTAGGAGACGTCACCATGAATTTTTCTTTATTATATAGTAACATTTCTGACCGGTTACGCTCTCGCTCTATATTTAACCAATAGACTCCATGTTGCCATGCATCTGTACATTAAAAGAGCACAGAAGGCGTCTAAATGTGGTAAGAACATCAGTTATACTGCATTTCAAACGAAGCGCGGTAGCAGAGGTGGAGTGAAAAACGAGAGAAAATTGGGTCGGGTCGAGTGATGAGAGGTGTTCTGTACGCGACCCGACCCAAACCTCTCACGTTTTTGCTCTGTCGCTAGTATTCGCTTTGGTTATTATTTCGTTCTGTTTTACCAACTAGAAGCGTGGAACAGGTATCACAGAGCAGACTCGCGGCAACATAGAATCAATTTCTTAATTAGATAGCGAAAGCGTAGCCAATTATATCAGTTACATATTAGATAGAACACTAGCGACAAATGCTAACGACAGATAACTGGATTCGGCTGGCGTGTATGTACATCACTGTTGGTCATTAGTTCATTGGTAAATGATCATGCCCACCATTTTGAAATAGGTCAATCAACTGTGTTGGTGGCAACTAGGGTGTGAACATGTCATACCAACCTTCCTTTTTAGCCGTTGTCCAAAGAAATCTCTGGCGTTGTGTACCGCCAGAAGGACTTATTTCAGATCGATATTTAATTGCTACTCATAGGGAAGTGGCGATTTAAAAATATAGAAAGCATTTGTCAAAATACTGTAATTAACAACTCTTTGTTTTGATTGTGATATCGTATTTGCTTTGGTAGTGTGGAGCGGAAAAGCTACCCATCCAAATAAAATGTATGTTTTGGGTTTTAGTATGGATTTAAATCTCAACTTTGCAATAGAAAGGAATAATCCTATAAACTATACTGAAGTAGCGATGTCTTAGCTTAGGCTTCGCTCAAAAGAAAAAAAAATCAAAGAAAGAGAAGAAAGAAAACTGTCAGCTGAAAAAAGACGCCCCGTCTATTTTACAGAGGGTGATTTGAAAACACTTCTTTTCTTCTTCAATAAGGTTATTTACGAACGAGTCTATTACGAACCAACATCATGACCAGCTCCCAGTCGGCTTGTTAGCTCAGTTGGTAGAGCGCTGCACTAGTATCACAGAGGTCATGGGTTCAAATCCCGTTCAGGCCTGAACTTTTTCAGGTGAACACCCTGTGGTTGGGGGAAGTTGAAAGGCCCAAGAAGGAGGCTTAGGAGAGGCTGTAGAAAGCTTCGGGTAAGGTTTTCGCTTGAAGGTGAACATCGCCCACTTTCACACTAGCCTGACCAATGAAAATGAAGGGGGTTTACTGTCAAGGCCGACACCAGGACGCAGCTCCGGGACTGGCCCATTGGGGAATGGGTCACTGGTAACTGTGTGTCCAAAGCTCAGGGGTGGGGAGGATAAGTTTTAGACTCCTCAACCCATTGCAGTGTGTCCGTAGATTAAATGAGGCTTCTTTGCTTATTTTGAAAACTCATTGTTTTGTCTGACGAGCCGTCAGGGTTATGCCCTACCGCTGTTCATTCTGTGGGCTAAGACTTAATGGCTGAAGGGTGGTTGAGGAGCAAAAGCATCAGATTTGAGAGGGGGGCCCTACTGACGGTTAGGTTTTCGCTTTAAGGCGGGCATCACCTAAACGTTAAGGCTAGCAAGTGTATGCAGCTTATCAAGTGGCCGATTCAAGGCTGGGCTGCAAGTGGCTCCATATAAACAGCTCAAGGGCGGGAAGGATAGGTTTTGGATTTAGTCAAGGTGGTTCGCTTTTTGGATAAAAGTAGACATCTTAGGAGAGGTCTCTTCAGTTTGTTGTTGTTTTGAACAGTCTCCCATTACTCACTGTGAGGTTCATGTCTTGCGGCGGCTTAGCCAGTGAGGTAGATAAGGATCTCAATGGGGTTAACTATTAGCCGAAAAACGATCAAAACCTTTTCCTGAAAATGAACAAAACTGAGTATGAAATTCATGGCTCATACCAAAGGATAAAGCGGGAGGGGAATGTAATCTTATCCTTTGACGGAATCTGATTCTGAACTGCATATATATATATATATATATCCATCCGCTTGCTTATATGTTTAAATACAGATATAAATATGAAAAACAGTCCTTCAGTTTAATGCCTGCCTCTAAACCCTTCGAGAACCAATTTTGTATAGGCTGAACTGGAATGGGACCACCGCTTCATAAGCAAAATTATTGTTTCTGCTAAATCAAAGAATAAAGCCTCACCGAGATATCTGAATGACATCTGAGAAACTATGGTATGGCCTGTGGTTAAGAATATTTGTGAACTCAAATCACAGAATGACCAATTTTTTTTAGATAATGATGACTTTATTTGATTCTTTTCCTACAATATAGTATGAACTTAATTAAATTAAAATCTGTCATAGGTCTCATTTCGCATAGTTATTTCATTCTAATGATTACATTCTATCGACTACAATCTGTTACTTCCTAATCCTATCTTTAACTATTTCCGAGTTCAACCTAGCTCAAGGGAAATATCATAGAAAATCTTATTTGAAGATAATAAAACATCCATCTTATATATTAAAAAATCTAAAAATATTCTCAAAAAACAAAACAAAACATAACAAAAACAAAAACTATTCTCTAAATCCTGCTTGTTGACTGACCAGACTGACCAATGGCTTCGTTTGGCCGAACGTTATACTTCAAATGCATTGTTACGGTGTAACCTAACCGACAGAAAAACACTTCAAGCCTACTAACTCGAATACTTTATTAACAACGAGTGATATTCTTAATTAGGAGCGACTCCTAGAGGCAGAACAGAACTTACGCTCGATAAACTTACTTAAGCCCTCTATAGTCTACATCTTAGTTCACCTTTGACCCAAACTCACAGTTTCCTCCAACGTTTCTTGAAATTACCAATCTTCCACTGCTGCTCTCTGACAGTCTAGCTTACCTTATCTAAACAATTACTTACATTTTAATGCCTCTGTACACACAGTTTCGACTAGAAGCTACAATGACATTCGTATTGCGAAAGTCAACCTAAAGGTTGCTAAGAGATCTTTTATTTACTGGTGCGATAGAAGTTAACGGTCTTCCTCGCCATATTAAATCAAAGGAATCCTACCACTAAGTCTAGCTAACCAAACAGTCGGTCACTCCCGACAACAACAACTACTACTACTACATAACCGAGTCCTTATATACATTCACAAAGTTTTCTGGAACATTACTGAAGCTTACAAAAGAACTATTTTAGTAGTATTAAGTAATAGCTGCGTGACTTGATGAAATGTTCTAGAAACTTCTATGATACACATGTCAGCACGACTAAGCAGTCTGGAGATTTCTAGCCTATATTTACAATAACTATTACTCATAACAGCATCTACACATTAACGTGCTAAAACGGACGATCATGATGAAAATACATAACGCAAAACTTCACATCTCGATTCAGTCTCTGCTGAGGCAAATCAAATCCCATATAACGTGATTTTTTAAACTTTTTTATTTTAAGAGGTTAACTGTTTACTCTGGAAAGTTCTTTTAGATGCCCACAATGAAATGCAACATGATATTTTCATATCCCCCTCAATACTGCATTTCCATGGATTTATTTTGGCAAGGCAAAGTTCTGTAGAAAGGCACAAACTAATACATACGTTAACGTTGAATTGTTCTCTTATTTTAAACTCATACGCTTCTAAGAGGGAGGGGGCAGGCTGGCTCACCGGAAGAGATATTCCAAAGCGACCATCAGTTCTGGTGTCACGTTAATTAATCATGCGCACATCTCCATGAGAATGGAGAATTCTTACAATGACAATCTTTCTGACATCTATTCAGGTTTCCTTTCGTCCATTTCAAACTCTTGGCTGAATTTTCTTTTTGTGCAAGTGCGACTTGGCATGTTGGTTTTTACTCCGTCTTTGCCATTATCATCTTCGCCAACGATGTTTCTTTTCAGTGTCCACATCTTCAAGGGCGTGAATATTCTCAGGTACTCTGCGCGGAAGGAACGATTCATGATGCCATATATGATGGGGTTAAGTGCAGTACTGGCCCAATCGAGACAAGTATAACTTACATACACTTGTCTTTTAAGTTTCCACCCGGCGTTTACAAAGTCGATGAGATCTATTACTAAAACAGGGATCCAGCAAGTGAGAAAACCTACAACAACAGCTAATAGAATATATGTAACGTTTACTTCATCCACTGATAAGCGGCTGTTTTGGGATAAATTTGCGGCTTCATGTCTGACGGAGGGAAGTCTTGAACGGAAGTTTAGGTTATGCTTCCGAACCGTTATAAATACTTTGGTGTAACAAACCACGATGATTATCAAAGGAATGGCTACGTAAAATACCACCAAATAAGCTCCATACCCTCTATGTAAACTTTCAAAATCGTGCGCGCAGAAAACTTTTCCAGTGTGAAAGAAAAATTTATGACCAGCAGCGACATATGGAAGAGGAGCCAACAGAGATAAGCTAATTTACCACGTTAGTGGAACTTTTGGTTTTTTAGGTTGATATCTGTTTTTTTGGGATAAATTTGCATACCTCCCATTTTGGTTGAGGTGTTGGGCATTTTTACGTTATAGTTGTCGTTCAGTTTTAGTATGTCTGACGGCGGTTGCGATTTTATTGTCGGAAGTCTTGAACGGAAGTGGTTTCAATCTGGTTTATACTTGACCGCGTAGGCGAACCGTATCTCCTTTTATAAATTGTTTTTAGTTCTTAGTGTTTTGCTCTTCTATCTCGTGTAACAAACCCAGGAGGAGCCAACAGGGAGCCAGGATCCATAGAACAGCGATTGTCAGTTTTGTTGTCTTCTTGTTAAAGAGTTTCTGATACAAGGTACGGGAGCGGACCACTCGGAAATATCTGTTTACAGCAGTGACGGCTAAAGTTTGTAGTGACACCGCTGCCAAGAGAAGAATCCAGAATCCTTGCAGCTGACAGACGAAGTCATTGAACGGCCATCTTCCAACAATTAGAGAAGCAACTGAAAATGGGATTCCCAGAAAAGAGTTCAAAAAGTCTGAAAGGGCCAGAGTTATGATGTACATATTAGGAACCGTTCGGCGAAGAGTCGGGTTTTTAATGACCACTATCCCGAGTAGTAGGTTCCCAAAGAAGGTGACGAAGTTTATCAGCAACATGAATAACGATTCTGTGACTTAAATGTTCGTTGGTCGGCTTCTTAACTGTTCAGCAAAGACTGCAATTACGGTTAATATCGCATTCATGATGACAGTGAGTTTTCTTAGAGAACCTACAATTTAAGACAAAACTTGTTTGATTCTTTTTCATGTAAATTTTGTTCGATTGTGAAAGCAACTTTCTCCTGTTTGTTTGGTTTATTCAGTTCCCGGATTTTGCTGTTCAGAGCATTGACGAATTATTAATAAAAAGTTGGAGGATTTTTTTAATTATCTCTACTATTCTTCGGAAAAATTGTTTTTGGAGAGCGGCTTAACTAGTTTCACCATAAAAGTACCTTTGCTTTTTTCGACAGATTCCGTTTTGAACATCGTCTAAAAGCTTTCAGTGTTATATTGGTGACTACGACACAAGACAAGATAGTGTTTTAGTTTAATTGTACAACCACATTCAACCGAGAGATAGCCAGCTTTAAATGCAATAGTTCTGTTGTGGGAGGGGGGAGGAGTTTGGAAGATTTAAAACGCGTGTGCTGAGTTATTGTTCTGCCAATTAGATCTTTTGTTTTTCCATGCCCTCGTTGCCGTCGCCGTCGTGGTTTGCTTAAAGTCCCTAGTATAAAAGAAAGTCTATAAAAAATGAGGAGGATCATTAGAATTCTACAGAGCCTTTTGTGGAGATCGAGTAAATTTTATTCGTGACCCACTGAAAAATTATTGGACTTCGACTTCGATTTCTAATCATTGCACTAAATGGCAATTTGACAGGCGGCCGAAAAAGTTTCGAATGAGCTATCTTTCCGTCTGCCATCTTTCATTGCTGCGTGCCTAATAATTTGCTAGTAATTTTGTTGTCTTTTCAATGATAGCGGGCGGAAAGCCGTGGGATTACAACACTTACAAGATCAGCCTGACAGATTAGAATATGCAAAAAAATTCCTGTTTTTATCTCCTGAAATGCGAGACCTTGGATGTACATTTCAGGTGCCCACTGATCGATTTTGCATTTTATGAGAAAAGTTTTACAGTTTTAGTTTAGCAAACTATGCAGTTTAGACCTCACCTTCGACTGGACGTCAGAGCCACTGATAGCACGCAATTTGAAAAAGGGGACGTTCCGTTGAAAACCGTTCCGTGGGTTCGAATTACATCAAATAGACCATATTCAGACTTTCCACGCTGAGCAAGATTATGGAATCGTAGAAACTCATTCGGGAGGGGCATTGGGATTTCCGGTTTTGCGGTTTTGGCTATTTTTTAGATCAGTTTTTCGGTTTTTGTGCCAAAAAACTTCGGTTTCTCGGTTTTGGTGTTCATTGCGGTTTCCGGATTTTCCGTTTTTTAGCATTTGGTTTTCGGTTTATACGTAAGGTACGGCTAAGCACGGAATATTGCCAGGGTTCTTTATCAACGCAACTTCGAAGTTGGCGACGATGAAACTTTCCAGAGCTATCGCTTTTTGCCACTGCAAAATTGCAATCATATAGAGGACTTATGTGCGAAGTCCCTTAATTTAACTAGGCTCCATTACCAGCTGCTGAGTCTGCAGAGACCACGCTCGAGGTCCTCGAGAGAGCAGCTGTTAATAGAGATTTTGTGACTCTTCCACGTTGTTTTTTGCCAAAAAAATTTCATAGTTTGCACATGATTGTAACTTAAGCACGATCCACCTTTTCCTTCCTGCGGCAGTATGCGTTTTTCTTCTGTTAGCTTTTCACGTTCAAATCTGTGAATTGAAGTTGGTTTTCTGAATTAAATCCTCAACAAAACTACAACAACCCTCGCTGAATAACGGATATTTATAATGATGCGAAAAAAAAGTCTCGTAAGTCTGAAAGAAACTATATGAAGTTGGAGTGAGAAAAATTGTAAATTTTGAGCTCGGTAATAAACTAGGAAGGATCCTCTTTCGTTTTATAACGAGCTTGGGATGAAGAAAAAAAAATTGAATCCTCAAAAAGACACCATCCCTCAACAATACCGTTCCCAGTCCCTCTAAAACCACTCCATTCTTACGAAATTGAGCGCCAGTTCTCCGCGTTCGCTGGTGTACGTCGTTTAATGAGGAACTTTCGAGTTTGTTTATTATGAAACCCTCCATCAGCTGAACAGACTGATAACAAAATGTCTTTTTCAGCGCACGAAAATGGCGATTCTAGGCATTCTATGCCTCGATGTCTATCTGACACCAGACTTGATGAAGCCTTCAGTGCTCATGGGCAAAGTGGACATCGATTTGTGCGCAAAACTTTCACTCGTCCGACATATTGCCATCACTGTACGGACATGCTTTGGGGTTTTACAAACCAAGGACTAATTTGTGAAGGTAAGAAAATTAGGGAAATAAAGATTTTAATTGTAGAATTAGCTTGGTCATTTAAACTGTTTCTTGTCAATTTCTATTAAGACAGGGAAGCAAATTGTCATATTATCATGCATGTCAAAAGTCGATGACTCCCATTTCTTAGCAACCCACACCATATCTTAAAACGATATTTCCCCTTTTGGATTCTTCAGTCCAATCGATCAACAATATATTTTAAAATCTGGCACTTTTTGTTTCACGGTAAACCATTGACTAAAACCTCGGTGGAATGTTACTCCCGACCGTGACTTAGTGTTCGGTTTTACTTGTTCGAATCTGACACCCAGCTATGTACAGAACGTAGCTATGTACTGTTCTAAAATACTAAACTGGCGTGTGTGCATTGAAAACACTTCTTTAGATTCTGAACAGGAACAAAAACTTTTTTTTCTGCAGATTTCTGAATGCTTTTAATCAGATATACATCGCCTGTTTATTCATGTTACAATTTGGCAAATTTTCGCACAACTTTCGAATTCTGAAGCATCTTCCTCTGTGATTTTAAGACTTATGTTTAGAAAGGTGCATTATTACTGCGAAGTGAATAACGTAAAGCATGTTTTTATCTTCGAAATACAAAATACAATCCTTGTCATAGATAATTGTGTTGATGTAAACTCAGGTGTGGGAAACACAAAAGGTGACTTCATATCACCCACTGGGTGCGTACGTTTACGTCATAAATGATATGTGAAAGTGTCAAATATATTTCCACTTAGTAAGACGTGATTTCCGCAAGGAAAGGTCTCATAATTTTTTGGGTAGGGTCTAAGCATCTTCTGAAAAAAGAAATCCCTTTTCCTGTTTGGCTTTATTGGTATTTTGAATGAATCAAAATAGTCAACCTTTGTCAGCTGAAACATAATGAATATAATGTAAGTTATGAGGCAGTTGTGGATAATAATGCTGTAGTTGCATGTTAAATTCTTTTGTGATTTTTAATTTTTTCAGATATTTGTACACAATCCTATATATCATAAAATGTGATCTGAAATGACAGGCATAATTTTCATTTGTGCCAGAACATTTTTTTGTTTATCTGTTTGTTTTTGCAATGGTTACTTTTTTTAAAGTGATATGGAGTGGGAAGGTTTTGAAAACAGGCCATTTCATGGATGTTAGACACAGAAACAAGTATTGTGTGATTGTACATGTATATTCTCAGCAATCTCCCTTTTGAGGAAACTCAATGAAGTACAAAAGACCAGACACCCTCTATGTTCTTGGGAAGTGGTTATACCTACATGAATGCTTAGAGATAATACTTAGGATTCAAATGTTGTACACATAAATGTATGATTTATTACATGACATTTCCATTTCAGTTTGTAATTTTGTGAATCATGATCGATGTATGCAACTTGTTACAACTCCATGTATTTCCATTGCAACATCATTGGTGAAGGTGAGCTGGATACTTATAGTGTAAAAAAAAGAAGGTGGAAATGTATCACTTCCTCTTCCCACTAACTGCTATAGATAGTGACACCACCGACAGTGATATTCATAAACCCTAGTGCAAGGCTTGCTGGTTTGATACCTGAAGGTCACATGTTCAAATTTTTCTACAATGGAAAAAGTCATTTTTAAAAGTTTTTTTTTCTTTTTTTATCCCTATTTCTTTTTCTTTCTTTCTTTCTTTTTTCTTCAGTTCTTTTTCTTTCTTTCCATTGTTCATTTTCTTTCTTTTTTCTTCCTTTTTTTTTCTTGCCTAAGATTGTAAGTTTCTTTGAAAGGCTTCATGTCAAAAATTGTTTCAAAGTCATTATCAATTATCCTGAAGCCAAAAACTGGTTGTCAGATGAGAAGTAAAAACGAAATGGGAAAAGAATAGATTTTGCAGTATCACATGACATTCTATGTAGCTGATTGGTCAGTATTTGTTTTCGAGGGTTCAGATGGCATCTCAGGACTTAATGTCAGAACAACCAAAGATAAAGAGGCAAATTTTCATGAGAGAAAACAATGAAGCAGCATTAGCCACATTTAAAAAAAATAGTTGTTTCACTTTGACTTTAGCATAAACACATACATGTAATAAAACAAATGCTGCAGCTTCATGCCTCATGTCTGCAATTGGCAACTCTGGCTGAAATTTTAGGTGCCAAAATGTTTTCCACTAGCTATGGCGACCAAAATGGTTGCAGCTTGTAGTGCTTCAAGGGGATGGCTGTCAGCACTATCCTAGAATACTTGTGAACGACTGTCAATTAGTACACATTACAATTAAAATTGTTTAATCATATAGATATACATGTACTCAATCTAAGTAGACCTTCAACAGGCAAGTTACCAACAGGGATTTTTCTGACTTGTTTGGGTTTTCCTTTCAGGAGCCTATTGCTCACAGTTGGAGCGGTCCATCTTTCTTTCGGCGAAGATTTTGTTGTGTTTGTAGAAAGAGACTCGAAGATCATGTAGCTTTTAGATGTCAAGGTGAGTCTGCCATGAATCAAATAAAATATGGTTCATTTGGACATGAATTCCAAAGAGCTTCACTACTTTTTTGTAAGAGAAATGTTTTTGAAAAAGTTAAGTAGCCCTTATGCTATTTAACATAGGATTAAGTAAAACTGAGAATGCTGTAATTGTTGCTTAGGATAATCGTAATGCATAATGCAAGTTGCGACCATACATGTAACTTATGCCAGGTTTCCATGTCAATTTTCCATTCATTTCTCCCCCTGAGAGAGGTATTGTGAGAGGAAATTGTCTTTCCAAAGAACACAGCAAACACAATATCCAAGCCATGACCTAAACCTAAACCTTTTGAACCAAAGTGATGAGGGGGGGGGAAGGTTTGACACAAATACTTTCAGGCAGGGTAGGACAAATTTGACATATTTTCTAGTAAGGAGCTGGTAATAAAGACAACTTTCCAAGTTTGAAATCTCTATATGTTTTTTCCTCTGTTGAGCACGTAAATCAGGTAATTAGCATACGGTATTTTGTAGTGTGATGAGATGGTATGAATAGTTGTATTATAGAGCACTTTGATCTCTCTCTCTCTCAATTTGATGGAACTGATACATATGAACACTGTTCATATGATTGAGTGCAGGGCTGTAGCTAGCATGAGGCAAGACGAGGCAATTGCCTTGTCTTGATTTTGGCCCAAGATTTACTTTTCTGAAAAAAATGCCATGGAAAATGCATAAAAGCGCATTTCTGAGCCTCTAGATTTCAAAATTTTCTGAGGGGGCATGCCCCCAGACCCCCCCCTAGTGGCTCGCTTTGGTGCTCAAAACTTACCTCGTCTTGTTCTGAAGTCTGGCTACAGCCCTGGAGTGTGCCCCACATTTTGAATTCTAAACTGATATTAATAATAACTCTTTCTTCATTGCAGTTTGTGACTATTTTGTTCATGAGGAGTGTAAAGAGTTTAGTGTTAGTGACTGCAAGAAGTGTGCTTCATATGTTCCTCACATGCAAAATGTATGTCTTTCTATAATCTATATCTTGCCGCTAAATCAACACTCTGTCAACTATTTATAATAAATCTTCCTTGTTGTAGCTTTGTTTAGATATAATCCAAACTCTCCTGACAGACATTCGTGAGGCAGAATCCCAGTTACTTTTTATTGGTGATGATGTTGGTGGATAGAGGGTCATTTCTATTCTAGATGCCGTCTTGTAAGAGGGCTATGATAACTCCTGCATATGCAGTGAAATTAATTGTATGTTTAACTTAATGTTCAAACAACTGCAGACGGACTAATATTGAGGCAAAATATTGGTTTGCATGGATATATGAGTTTTGTGAAAAGTTGAGTAACTGCAAACAAGAAATCATGTTCATATTTGGAAAGGGGAACTCATTCGTGATCTTCCCTGGGGGGGAAACTTTTTGCCATATACATTTATTCAAAATGAGTTTGTTGACAACCGCAGTCTGTAAGGCAAGCTCACCATTGGAGAGAAGGAAACATACCACCCAGTGCAAAGTGTGCACACTGTAAACGAACTTGTGGAAGCGTGGAGTGTTTGACAAGTGTCAAATGTAGCTGGTGTGGGCAGGCGGTGAGTGCTTGTGATTTGGTGCGTTTTTTATGTACATTAGAAAAAAATTGCATGTGTCTGCAAAATTTTTTTTTTTAACTTGCTTTTCTTTTGAATTTAGGGCCAATTACCTCTGAGCTATTCTGAACTAAACAGACCATGAGTGCATTTCCTGTCATTCGGACAGGGATCTGTTGATGATGAATATGGGTTGCTTCTGCTTCCCTATGCCCCTACAATCAAAACATATTAAAAAATACTATTACAGTATAATAGATTATATTTCACTGATTAATATCATGCCATGTCAATAAATTTTTTTCCATGACAACTTCATGATATACTCATTTGGAAAATGTAAACAATATGTTCATTGTTTTTACTGGTTTTAAAATAAAAAATTGTTTTATTTCATTAATGTCAAAGGTATATGTAACACATGTTGAAATTAGGTCATGGTACAAAAGAGAGAAGTCGTAAATTTTCCTGACATCTGTTCTTACGCTCAATGTGTTTTGTGTTGTTCTGATTACTTACAGGCTCATAGTTCTTGTCAGTTTATGTTACCTAAAGAATGTGGATTTGGTTATCTTCATAAGCTTTTGTTACCACCGTATGCTGTTTCAATGCCAAATGTCACCTTGTGGAGTTCTTGTTCGGAGAGCAGATGCAAGTCTGCTACATCAAGAGGTAAGGAGGAAGGTGCCAGAAAATTCTTGTATATATGGGTATCAAAATGATAATCATTATCATGGTGTGTTCACATAATGTCTTTCACTGTTCTGTGTTGATGTCATGTTAATCAGTTGAGTGATCTTGATGTAGGGGTTAAGTCAGTTGTATAATGTGCTTGACTTGATCTCAGGCCTGGTCACACTAATTAACCCTTTACACTCTAATAACAGTATGCATATTCTCCTTACTGTCCATTGTACATTTGTTAAGGTGCTGTCAAGGAGAATTTGTTTAACGATCAAGAGCTTCTTTAGTTGGTGATCATTTCCTATATTCTTGTGACCTTCAGGTGTGATTCAAAGGAGATATTGTAAGGAGAATTTCGATGTTAGTCACTCTTAGGAGTGAAAGTGTTAATCTAGTGGCACATCTCCCAACCCTGGAACATATATAGATAGGTAACAAAATTGTAAGGGGAAAATGGTATACTGCTCAATGGTATGTGATGCTTTCAATGACTCTGCATTCAGAAACAGAGGAAGCAGCCAGTTACATGTTCTCCTAGTCACTGGGATGAGCTTGATCAGTGATGAGTCACAAGTTAGGCTTGCAACACTATATTCCTTCCTCCTCCCCCCTCCCCCTTCCCCCCTCCTCCCTCCTCTAATCTGTTGGACTGACTGCTTGTAATTATCCATAGGTATGCTGAAAGGTGTTGTTGACAGTGATGATGGTATAGTCTCAGATGACCCACTCCATAACACAGACATGAGCAGTTTATCTTTTGATGCAGGTATGATTGATACAGATATGAGTTTGTTTAATATTTCATGCACAATATTTTCTCCATTTGCTGAATCTCACTGTGGTTATATTTGTTGATCTTTGGTATAATTACATGTACCCTCACAATGTCTGTATTTGTGGAGCTTGATAATGATGTTTTTACATCAATTTTATAATTGTACTAAGAGATGTTTTTCATTGTAATAGATGAAACTTATTTAAAGATATATGATGGTGACATAACGGATCCAAAACTTTGTAAAAACATAGTGATTCCCAGGACAGCTCAAGTCAGCAATGTTCTTGTGAGTGTGCAACTGGTTTTGATTTTAACAACTTTGACATTAATAGTAAATTTTTGAAACTAGTTGAAACAAGACTTGAATTCTGGGAAACAGAATTTATATGATGCATCTAATAAATTGAGCTTGGTGAATGGTTTGGCAGTGGATCTGCTGTTCTAGACAACAGTATGCTTGGGTCTGGTACAAGTAGATGCAAACATTGGGTTTTATTGTTTCAAATTTCAACAATGATGTTCTTTCACTGATTTCTAGGAAGAAGCTCTGAAAAAATTCCACATCACAGATGATCCCAGCAATTATTACCTTGCAAGAGCTGTGGATGAAGGTGAGACACCAGGGATGGCTTTTTCACCCTATCACCTGCAAGTTCTAAGTCTCGATTCTCCTTACTGTCTGCCATACATTTCTTTTAACTTGTGCTTTGAGAAGTTGGTTTTAAATTAGCCCTAGTTTTATCTGTTTTCTCTTTCTCATCGCCTTTGTGCTGGAAATCACATCACTTATTGTAAGGAGAAATTATTTTTTTTAATAAATTTAACAAGAGAAGTAATTATCCTCTATGGCCAGCCAGCTGAATGGATATTGTTATGTCACCATTGTGTGAAGTTTTTCTAAGATACAATTCCCTGTTGGTGTTTTAATTTTATTATTTTTATCTCTTCCTGTTAAAGAAAATGAACGTGTCCTTGATCCTGAAGAGAAGCCTCACCAGTTTACTGGTAGAAATTCATCCAAACCTTTAATCTTTCTTCGCATGAAGGTAGGATTGATGTGCATTGTACTGGCTCAATTAGGTCTTGTCTTCTAAATAATTAAGAAAGTTATTTAATTTTTTTTTAAGTTTGAAAGGGTGATGTTGTTTCCATTTTAGGTTTCAATTGAGTACTGAGTGACATATGCATACAGTGTTGTGTAACAGTCACAGATCTTGCATCTTCTCCTCAACTAGTCAGATGCTAACCATATCAGACAATATTACTTTTAATCAGTAAAATTTTTGGAAATGCACATGTTCAGCTCTTTTAAACATATGGTGTATGAATTTAGTTCTGTGTGTTCTACTTCATATTAGTTCTGGATACTCATAAATATTATCTTATTTTTTTCCTCACACATTTTGTTGTTCTTTTTCTTTCATTTATTGTCAACTACCTTAAATCTAAGTAAATAAATAACAGGTATTTTACATGGCAAGATTAGCATTTTAGTTATTCTGAGTAACTTATCCCTGTCCCTTTATTATATTTTAAAATATTTTCTTCCAAAAATATGGTGATAGAAATTAATTGTTGTTGCTGACAGATGTTTAACCTTATTATGTTATCATTTTGTAATCAATCCCTCACCTTAGAGTGCAGATCGACGGAAAGGATATATAAGAGTTTACCCTGGAATGATAAAGTGAGTAATTGTATTTACAATTATTCAATTTAATTGGCAGGTGCAATTTTGGTGTTAATAGCATAGGGTTCAATTTGAATTAGGCCATACTCTTAGTCCATGCCTCTTAGAGATTGGAAGATTGGTGTGATTTTACAGGACTCTTAGGAAATTTCAAAGCACTTTCTTAGCTATTAAGTCCTGGAAATTTAAGTTTTACTACCAATCAAAGTGAGTCTGTCATTCCAAATTGCTGCTAGTTCATGGAATTCACTCATTCCTGTCTGCATTATCTCTCAGTGCTTAGAAATTTACATTGTAAGTTTAGGGACATCCCTCTCACTGAAAATTCTGTGTCTACATCCCCTATTTTGTCAACTTATTTACAATCCACATGTGTTATTTTTGGACAAAATAGCATTTTTCCCTTAACCTTAACTGCTGCACGTGGTTTAAACTAACCATTTGGTAACATACCTGATACAGTGCGGCAGGAACATTCAAGATAATCCCTGTGACTGCACAGACAACTGTTACAGAAGTGATAAGTGCTGCTTTAGAAAAATTTGGATTAAAGGTTTGTCTCAAGTTTCAATGCATTTTCTCATCAATTTATGGGTACTTTCCTTCCTTACTCCCTTTCTTCCTTGCTTCCTCCCTCCCCCAGTTCCCCTTCATCTTCTCTCGATTGTTTCCCAATCCCTCGGTCCTTTCTGTCTCTTTTTTTACCTTTTCCTTCCTTCCCCCTCTTCTCTAGCTCTCTTTTATCTCCACTTACCTCCCTTCCTTTAACAGTACATCCCTACCCTCCTCACCCTCTCTGAGCACCCTCCTCTCTTCTCATCACTCTCCTTACCAGCTCTCCTTCTCTCCCTCTCTTATCCACCCCCTCCCTGTTTTCACTGCTTAGGGTTAGCACCTCACTTGAACTTAAAACTAAAAACCTCACTGTGGCCTACTTTCCCAACCCTACCTACCCTAGCTTGGCATGCTGCTTACCTTTACTTCAAGACTCCTCTTTAAGCCATGTGAGTGTGTGCTAGTTCACTATCCTCTTAATACTAATGCATAAGTTTTTTTTTCTTTTTCCTCAGCCCAGTTTTTTGTGTCAAAAGGCCTCTCTGAACAATTTATTTCTCCCAATGTTTATTTTTTGCTCCTTCCTCAATATTAATTTTGTCCCATCTCTTGGAAATGTTCCAATCTTTCTAGACTGCTACTTAATGCAACTTTAAGTAAAATTACATTATCAAAGGTGCAATTTTAATGGAATTTCTGTTACATTTTTGTTAACCATTACATTAAATTAATTGTTATGTACAGGATGCCAATGAGAATGATTTCTCTTTGACGGAAGTACACTTAACTCAAGGAGGTAACATATCTCATTTTATGGCGATTTTACTAAAATTATTTTTCATACAATAATGGAAATTTGCTCTATTTATTATCTCAATACTGCATAGAACTCCATGCAGTGCAATTATTTTTAAACTTGGCACTGTTGATTATTAACCTGTCAGTTGACATTACTTTTATTCCTATGGAATTAACAGTCCATGAACGAAGGATGGAACACAATGACTGTCCATGGAAGTCCTTGATGGATATTAGAAAAGTAAGGCTTATCTATTAGTCAGTAGGACTTTGGAATGCATGTTATTTTCAGCTTTTGTACCAAGTAAATAAGCCCTTAAACTTTGCTGATGCTACAGCTATTAGTTAGTACCTCTAATACTTTACTTCTTAAGATCTCTATGTAAATGATATCTTACTCCAACAATTTGTTTTAATCCTTACCTCAAGTGAACAACACTTTACCTCCAATTCCACTCATGATAGTTGTCTCCTCTCCTTTGTTTTGGACTCCCCCAACCTTCTTCTGTTTTTGTTTTTGTTTTTTTGTTTTGTTTTTGTTTTTGTTTTTATTTTTTATTGTTTGTTTTAACCCTTTAACCCCTCGGAGTGACTAGCATCTAATTTCTCCTCACAGTATCATCCCTGAATCAAACATTAAGGTTATGAGAATAAAGGAAATGATCAACAAATTCCGGAGCTCTTGATTGTTAAGCAAAATCTCCTTGTCATGGAGAATATGCATACTGATTTTAGGGTGTAAAGGGTTAATTATTTGGATGAGATGCTCCTCTGTCTTTTTATCTCCAAGTTTTCTTCTTGTAGAGTTACAGCCATTGGAAAATATGGTGGTGAGGTGGGCACAACTTTGCTCTCAATAGTTTCATGTCTCCGCACCCATTTTGTCTTCAACTTTCTTTGATAACTGCAAAGTGATTTTTAACAATAAATTATAGATCTTGTATTCATATGAAGATGTTGGATTTGCTGTAAAAGTTAATGTATTTCTTTTCTTTGCAGAAGTCTGTAAGGAAAATGAAACTCACAAGATTCTACCTGAGGCGAAACTTAGAACCCTTGGGCAGTGTTTGCATATGCGTTGGTAGTCTCCCAGTTGGCCTCGACACAAGTAAATACAAAACTTTGATTGGCGACGTTCTAGGAGAAAGTGAGTTCTGTTTTCTTTGTTTGTCAGATGCTTCTAAACAAGTATCTTTGATTTACGAGAGACTAATGTATACTATTAAACTATGTTTCCTGAGCCCTCCCCTGACGAGCTGCCACGTCCATTCGGCTATGTTGAGATTGACGACATCTCGGCAACCTAATAGTTTGCGCATTAAAATATGCAGAGGGAGGTTTGTGGTTGTTCTCATCTTTTTTATTGGATTTCATTTCACGATTTGTATGTAATTGTTTTGCAGCCATGGAATTTTGTGAGGTGAAAAGTGTGTTTTCTAGTTATGGTGAGTTACTAGTAATCCTAAAGCTCAGTTCATGTATTTAATTATTAAAGCACATTATTATATCGCTGGTAGTGCCCGTGGGAAATATGAAGCGAATTCTTTGTTCTGATTGGCCCTTATCCTGCGCAATTTTTTGCTTGTTTGTTAGTTTGCAAGAAAGCGGGATAAGCTCTGGTTAACGAAGCATTTGGCCCGAGTGTATCCCACACACTTTGCATCCGTTATTTTTTAAGCTCGAAGTCAACATGGCTTGAGAAAGGACAAGTCCCTTTTTTCTGTATCATTTAGTCGCCGTGAGTTTCCTCGTTTTGACTGACTGCAATGTGTGCTTTGCAATTCCATTGCTGCTGCCTGGTGACATATGAGGCTGCCTAAGAATTACGCAGCACCTCAACCGGCCAGTTTTACTCTTTTGAGTAAGAGGCAAACTTGCGCGGGCATAGCCCCTTTTGCCAATCAGAAAATAAGATTTACGCAATAATGCTCGATCGCACAGCTGGTCACAGGACAGAAATGACTGAGAGCTTTGTTTTTGTTTTGTTTTGTCGGCTTTTTTTTTTACTGTTAATTACGTTACCTATTGTAGACATTGTAACTCTCTACAGGTATGGTGTTTGTGTTTTTTCCTGCTGCTGACACAGCAGCAGATGCCGTGAATAAATTTAAAAGCTCCACCGTGGACAACAAAGAGCTGTTCGTGAGAGTCTTACCCAGCATTCACGTAAGTAGCCGTAAATGCAATAGCAAAGTCTTTCTCCAGAGCATTTTTTAGAAAGTACTTTAAAAAACAAATGAACAGATGTAGATCGACCTGAATCAATATTTCTTTTTTTCGCATATCGTCATTCTCTTCTTACAGTAAGGGAGTTATGCTTATTCTGTCTTCTTTTTTTCTTCCTTTAGCCTGGACTGTTCCCCCCTGGAAGCCAACCTCTTTTAGTACTGGTAAACTCCAAAAGTGGTGGTGGTCAGGGGGCCGACATGTTAGCAGCTTTCCAGAGACTGCTCAACCCTTATCAAGTGTACAGCCTCTTAGAGGGAGGCCCATTATTAGGGTATGTTAAACTCTCTCCCCCTCCATATCTAGGAAACTGTATGTCGAGACGAGTTCCCACCCGAATCGTTGGGGTTACAAGAAAGTTGTTTGCTTAGTAGGAACTATTTCCTTAGACTTTTGTGTCCACGAGAATTAACCGAGGCCGAGCTAATCCAGCCATAGTGCAGATATGGATAGGTGCAGAATCTTTCTAGCACAAATCGCACTATTTAAAAGACCATACGCATATTTACACGAGATAACCCAATATCACCCCCCTCCCTCAGCCTCGCTTTCAAGGTGCAGACTTGTGAATTGTAATAGGAAAGTATTTTGCACGTAGGACAAACAAGGAAGTGGCAAAGATTGATGAAACATTTTAGTCCAAAAAAGGCCTGGGGGTTAATTTTCCGCATATGACGTCGTTCTGCAGAGGAACTATTTCTATTTTGTCGTATAGGCTGCTTCCTAAAGTAATCATTGAGAGCTATTCTATACTCAAAATTACGAGCATTGTCTTCTTCTGTCAGCTTTGTCCCATCATCTTTAAATCGCTGAATATCTAAAATATGAATCGATTTTTATCTTTGTTTCAGATTTTATGCTTTCAGATCTATTCCTGATTTTCGTGTGTTGATTTGTGGTGGTGATGGCACAGTTGGCTGGGTGCTGTCATGTTTGGATGATGTTGTTCAAGAGATGAAGTGTAAGTTACCTGCATCAGCAGTTCTTCCTCTTGGCACCGGTAAGTGGATTTTTACAAATTATTCCTGTTCTCCACGATTTAGAGCAAATTTATTTCCAGAGTCAAAAGTACCTTCTGTACGTTTTATTTTCTGCGATATTTCATAGATTTCAAGACTCGTTCTATAAACTTGGCCAATGGGATGAAAATCTGAAACTAATCATGATTTAGTCATTTGTGTTTTCAAGGCAATAGAGACCCTAGAAAGTCATGCAAATTTCCACTTTTTAGGCCTGAAAAGTTCGTAGTATTTGTAAGTAAATCAAGTAGCATTGATTACTGAAAGTCTGGAACTCTATACTGTAATTATATGAGCATTTTCAAGTTACGATTAATAGCAGAGGTTTAAATTAGTAGAAAAACCGTTGTAGCGTATTTTGAAAAGCTGCCGTTTCGGGTGGTACAGTGAAAAGAGAATGGGTGGGAAATTGAACGAGACTCTCGTATGAATGAATCTCTCTCGTGATTTCTATAGTAGCAAGGTAATGAATGGGAAATTGAATGAGATTCCCAGGTTACATGTATTCATCTCTCTCGTGATTTCTATAGCAGCTAGAAAATGAGTGGGAAATTGAACGAGATTCTCAATTTACAGGTAACGATCTCTCTCGTGTTCTCCATTGGGGAGGTGGTTACTCTGGTGGCGAGAGTCCTGTATCGCTTCTCATGGCCATTGATCAGGCACACGAAGTGTTTCTTGATAGATGGTGTGTCATGTTTGATTCAGCGGACACTAATGTTCCAGAAACAATGTCAAACGACAGCGCGCTTGGCTCGATGGGAGGAAGAGAAGACGATCCAAGTATTTTTACCATGAATAATTACTTTGGCATCGGAATTGGAGCTGAGCTTTGTTTAGATTTTCATCTTCAGAGGGAGGAAGCACCTGATAAATTCCATAGCAGGTGAGGATACAAAGGAGTAAATTTACAGGTTACGAAATTAGTCGTAGTCACTATGCGGCATTCGATTGAAGAAAAAGAGTGTTGATTGCGAAAGCCATTGGATGGTAACAAAGGTTCCATAGTCTTCTGAGATGTACTGTTGTTTCATCTTTACTGCGTTTAATGTGCTCAAACTCCGGATAAATAGTAACCTCCGTTGAAAGCTCTTTTGAAAAGGGATAGGTTGAAAAACCCCCGACTTTGTGTTTTGCAATTTACTGTTAGTGCGACTGTGTTTAATCTCTAGTTCCCCCCTTTTTTTTTTGGTTTCTTTTTGTTTCAGGCTTCATAACAAAGGAGTTTACTTTAGAGCAGGTATAAAGAAAATGGTCAAAGGCTACTCGCGGACATTTACTCAAGAGGTCGAAATAGAGGTGATTAATCTGTAGAACGATGGTATTGAATGGCTGATCACAATAAAAGGGGTGTACCGCTGACTATAAGACCTCTTATTGCCTTTTGTTTACCCTGCAAGCGGGCTCATGTTTGGGTTTCACCATACTGCCCCTTTTCGGGCACAGCCGCCTATTTTACCATCGACAGCTGCCTATAGAAAAAGGTTATTGAAACCCCTGTATCAGAATTAACTTTCTTAGCATCGAGTGTTGGTCCAAATCATCATCGTCTGTCAGTTGTATTCAACTCTTAATGATTGCATGTATATCAGTTGCACAATTTTTTATTTCATGCCCCAATCACACCTGAGCGTTTTGTTTTGGCGTTTTGCGGTGCTTGTTTGCCTTTCGTCCTCTTTAACTTTCTAGAGACCAGTATCTTATTTACTTCCTTTTCGCTGCAGATTGATGGCAAAAAACTTGACTTACCAACACTAGAAGGAATTGTAATTCTGAACATAGGCAGGTAAGTAAAAGCTTGAAATTGAGGTCAATCTAATTAATTCGAATTAATTTTTCAGTGGTTAGATTTTCAATTTAATTGTAGGAAAATCGCTGCACATCGGCTTCAACAAGTAATTTTAAGCTGCACAGTTTTTATGCCCGGTGAAAGTATGATTCGTGTAGGTCAACATTATTTGTTTCATATAATCATGATCTGATTCCTTTACGGGAACGAACAACCTTTCAAAATTTGTCTCACTCACATCACGTGGCTTCGCAGCAGTCCCCAACTGTTATCTGGGAGGCCCGGGTTCGATTCTAGTCGAAGTCTGAATTTTTAAGGCTTCTTTTCTGAGATTGCTTTGATAGCAGCTGACCTGCGATGATCACTTCGTTACTTGTAAAGTCTTTTATTCTTTTGTATAAATTTTGCGCTTTAACTTTTTTTTTAAAATTTGTTTTCCGGCCAGTTGGGGAGCAGGCACAGATGCATGGGGACCAGACAAAGAAGATGTATGTAGTACTTCATGAATTTAGTGGGATATCTGCTCATATTCTTAGCACCAAACAACTGATAAAATAACCATGACATTTTGTCCCTAGAAGATGAAGTCTGGAAAAGACTCAAAGATTCAGCGCATTAGCTATAAAGAAGCCAATAAGTGCGAAGAGTAGAATTGTCCAAACCGCCAATAGCGCGGGAAGTAGCAAATGACCAAACCACTGTTGATTTTAGTTATGCCCGTGATTGGTTCAGAGAGTGGCTTGAATTATCTGGACCAATCGCAAAGCGAAGTTAAACGAAATAAATGCAATCCCGGATTCCTTTTCCACACACAATTGAAATTGCTTGAATCTTTTTGCAGGGTCATGCCTCAGCTTGTCACTGTGACGGTCTTGTCGAGGTGGTTGGACTTCAGGGAGTAATGCACCTGGTGAGTCAGAATCACCACCATCTTTACCCTTCACGCCCTAACATCAGTAGGCATATGCACCATACTGTTCTCTCCAAGCTGCTCCGCGTATTTTTTTCTACAACTGCCACAATTTTTGTATCCTGCCTTTTCCGTTCTTCTTAAATATTTGCATAAGAAACGTTTTTATTTAGCGATAAAAATGGTGCCTTAGTTCTTAATTGAAATGAATTCTTTATTAAAAGGGTCAAATTCAAAGTGGAATCAGGACTGGTATTCGGCTAGCACAGGGAGCCCAGGTATAGATGTTTGGTTGTAATCCAGTAAATAACATAATGAAGCCATAAGTTGATTATCCTCGTACTATTCTCTTGTAATTTCTGTTTTTCACGTTACTATGTTCCCACCAGTGGCGTAGCGTCATTTTTTTCTGCATATTTACTTTATAAAATCAGTTGATAAAAAAACTATCATGTAATACCCCCCCTTCCCTTCCCCCCCCCCCCCCCCCACACCGACGCAGAACCACAGTTTCTTTAGAAATTTACCCTCTTCATTCATTCGCTTCAATGTTTTTTTTCTTAATTGATGAAAATTATTATTACTTCATTACAGATCAACATCAAATTAAAATCAGAGATGCCCGTACAAATAGATGGTGAACCTTGGATGCAGCCTCCTGGAAATGTGATTGTACGGCCCATACTAACACAGGTATTTACTGTGTAACGACGCTGTAAAAGATTACCGTTTGGGGAAAATGAAAGGCTTGTGATTGGACTCGCATATCTCAGTGTTAAAAATGCACCTAGAACATTTCTAAAAATCAATTTAGTTTTATCTTTTTACCTGATTATTTTTGCCAACATTTACATCCAAGAATTCAATAAAACGTTTATAACCGGACGACTTTGGTTCAGAATTAAGAATATTTTGCTAGAACCCAAACGGCCATCGAACACTTTCGAAATTTCATCGTTAGTTCACTTATTTTTTTCTTTAGGCGCTGATGCTATCGAAGAGGAAGGTTAAAGTAAAAAACAAAAGAAGACCCACAAGTTCGTCTCGCCCTCCTGCAAGCCCCAGCGCAACAAGAACTATTTTTTATGATGATTAAACACTTACCCCGGGCTTATGGCAGCTTAATTAGAAACCATACTGGATATTTTTTCCAGCTCTGATTTATACTTAACTTGGTAATCTTGTAAAGTTTCATCTAGTTAAGTATTGCTTTAGCCGAGAAAATGTAATTCGAAATTGTAAAGGAAATTACTGTCATTTGTATCGCTTTGGGTATACGCTGTATTGTAAACAGTGCAGACTTAAATTCCATCTTTATAGTGCGTTAAATTGAACCAATTGTGAAACTCTACCAGCACGAAATGCTTGCTGGTTGAAACAAGGAGAGCGGCTCAGTCCTCACCATTCGAACCTCTTCAGTGTACATTACCATTCGTGCTATTGGAGTCAATTTCTAACACCGGCCATGATTTGTTTATCGAAGTGGTATATAATGATTCTGAACTAGTCTCGGCCACATTCTGTCTTTCCCCGTTCCGCCCGTAAATGCGCAAAGGCGTTGTAGTAGACGCTACGCGCTAACGAACCAAACTCGTAACCTGGTATTCCATAGTCGCATGTAGGAAAAAAAGGGTGGCGCGAGATTTCTAGACGAATCACAGTTTATTAAAGATTTCATGCTTAAGAAAAAAGTGAGAAGAATACGATTAAGTAACGCAATTTCAGATAGGAATGAAAACACTTGAGAGTCGACGATACGCGTACCCTGGCGTTCCACAATCGTATATCAAAGGTGCGAACTAAAATGTTGAAATCTCTGTCTCGAGGTGGAGTTGAAAGCTTAGCTTGTCCCGTCAATGGAGTTTTTACAGAAGACACCGGTGAATTTGAAGATAATATAAGTTCGAGTATATTTCAAAAGAATGTTGTATTTGTAATTATATGTAAAAAGTGGTTTAACTGCAGAAGTATTCATTAACAAGCTAATATGCATGAACGCCTTCTATTGATTTACCTTTTCTCCATGTTTCATTTTATAAAATGATCAGTTCATGTAGATGTGTTCTGAGTGAATTGAATTTGTGAGAAAACTTTTTTTGTTTGTTTGTTTTTTTTGTCGTTAAAGGCATAGCTAGTGATAGGCTCGCGGTAAGAGGAGAGAAGAATAAAAGAGAGCGAGCAAAAATCGGCGAGGTTCTGGGAAGGCATGTCACCTTCCTTCATTCTAATTAGATTTTTCTCTCACTTACCCCACGTCTATGCCCGTCCTCACTGTGTCAGGCTTCCAGAGGCAAGGTTAGCGGTGTAGCATGAGGAAGAGTGTAGAATGGAAGGGAAGATTTTCCGGTTTTCTTCTAGTGAGTTGTACAGACGTTAAGTTAGTTAAGTTAAGTTAGTTTTACTCAGGTTTTTGGCTCGATTTACTCAGGTTTAGCTGAAGGTCTCTTTCAAGTTTGGTCATTATAGCTGTGTAGCTCTACATGTTACACCTTCGAGTCCTTCACTGGAAATGTAAATTTGGAGTGTAAATTCTAATCCCCTGGTAAATTAAACCGCAATGGCAAATTATTGAGTTTCTTAAGTTATCTCAGCGGTTGACAAGAAGGAAATATCACAAGCAGTCGCTAAGGACAAAACTTCATGACGATTCAACACCCTAAAAGGCAGAACAAAGGGTGGTGCGAGATTTCTAAACCAATCACAGTGCAGTAAAGATTTCATATCTGAGGTTTTTTTAAATACTAACCGTCACTCCCACCCACCCTTGGTGGAAGTCTTTGGATAGAAAATGAAAAGCTTAAAAATGTTTCCTAACTTCCGGGAAATATATATTTGTTACGCCTTATTTTACATGGGGGGTAACCAAAAACCCTCAAGAGAGTCGCGTCAAGGAGATACATTATGGTGTCAAAAGAAAACAGCTCAGTTTTTGGGAAAAACTCAAACTGAATATTTCATTAAAAAACAAAAAGTTCAACATTATGAGAGATACAGAAAGCAATTTTGTATCAGTTTACTTGTCACAGGTCATCGAGGCACATAATCCACACTGTGGATGAACCTGAAGCGTGACTTAGAAACCTTTATAGGGTAAACTGAGAACGGACTCATGTGTAAGGTCTTAAAGATGTTTTATTGAAGTCTTCGTTAACATTTTAGAGTAGATCTTGAACCCCTGTTCGTAACTCTGTGTGACTTTCCTCAAAAAGCCACTTACACATTCAAGTTTTTCTTACTGTAGAAGCCATGTTGATGATCCCGTTTTAACAAAGATAAAAGAATACCACGTACTAAAATGAACTAGAATTCTCGTTGTGAGTTAAAAAATCTAGAAATGGGCTACAAAATTAGATTCATAAACACTACTAAATATCTAAGTTAGCGGTATTCTAAGACCTTTTTTCTTTTTTCCTTTTTTTGATTTTCAGGTTAATGTTAATAATAATGCCGAATTATGTAAAGAAGCAGGCTTCAGCCATGACAGAGATCACTAATGCTCGCAAACGAGTTATAAAAACTCTAAGACATGACCCATTTAAATCATTTTCATTCTATAAAAACCTCTAACAAACGAATTCTGACCTTGTTTATTACCCTCTAACAATTCTAAACTCAGTTTGCATGCAAAGCACTTACAAGCTTGTTGTGGAAGTGAACTATTCAAATTGTTGTCGTACCAATTAATATCCTATATCTGACTTGTTACTCGTTACCACAACATCTTTTTAAATTCTTTTTAAGGAATTTGCGTTCATAAAGAACGTAGTAACATAGCGAAAATAGACGTCACTCTACCTTTTAGTTGTCATTTTTCTCGCATACGAGTTATAAGAATTCTAGAAATGAGCTACTTAGGTCTTTCAATATATTGTAAATCTCTAATGCGTGACGTCTTATCGAGTAACTGTTTCTCTTTTTTTGTGTGACATTTTTACCTTTTTTTTTTCAACTAGAGATACTAAGGAAATTAGGCAACTCGACACGTACTCTGAATACTCGCTGGACAAGTTGTGGTAATGTTCGAACTATTCAGATTATTGTTTTACCGCCTAATGTCTACTAACTCTGCTACTAGAAATGAGCTATCTAAATAGTTGTTATACAGATAAATCTCTGATAATTCTTATTCAAGACCCTTAGTGTTCTATTATTATCACATCATTTGCTCTTTTCTATATTAGGAACTCTAAAAGAAAGTTCTTAAGGGACATCAATTCCCCTCTACACTACGAGTAAACTCCGAATAAACCTAACAATTTCCATGGAAATGAACTTACACATTACTTTTAAAACCAGAGGCATTCCTAATCAAAACACTTACTCAGCTATATTGTAATTAATGATGGAAAGATCAGCATCAAAATAGAATATCTTATCACACTAGGAGCATAGCCAGCTTTTCGACTTGTCGTGGGCCTATACCCTAAGAAAGTTAAATTTTTGTTTCAAAATTTGCACGAGTGATGTGATAGAAGTTAAGAGGTACAGGACTCTAGGCTGGCTACACCCCTGGTATTGTTGTGTTCCGTCTTGAGCCATCCGACTTAACTGTGGTGTAGCAATCATGGTCTTTAGAAATACGCTAAAACTAACAGACTCAAACTGTCAGGTAAATTTACATGTTACAAAAAGAAACAAACAAGCAAACCAAAAACGGTCAAAACAAAACAAAAGGAAGATGGACTGATAGACAGAGTGCAAGGTATACAATGATTAGCTCGGACAACAAAGTTGCTAAGTATTGTTAACATTAGATCAAAGAAAAAGAAATTACACGCCCACTCAGATAAAGCTCAATATGTTCTACTTCAACTATACCTTGTTACCATAAAATGATAAGTTCAGACAACAAAGCTACTGAGTATTGTTAACATTAAATCTAAGAAAAAGAAATTACACGCCACTCAGATATAGCGCAATATGTTCCACTCCAACTATATCTTGTTACCATACAATGATAAGTTCAGAAAGCAAAGTTACTGAGTATTGATAACATTAAATCTAAGAAAAAGAAATTAAAGACTAAGATGTTACCATAGACAGTATGTATTGATTACGAGAATTATTTTTCTCCTTTTCCTTGAAATAATTTAGTTTTTCTCTAGCCCTTGCGGTCTCCATACTAATGGCAATGTTTTTGGCTCTTGGAAACTGTCAGAGGCAAAGGAAAAAGCACGCTTATCAGTGAACGCAAAATTAACTTATCGATTAGATGTTTGTTTGATCTACGGACCCGAAATTCAGTCAGTCAAGCGTTGAATGTTTGCATGTCTGTATTGAAGTGTTTTGCAGCCATAATCTAATTCAGTTAGTTATAACCATGCCCACTGGCCAGGTGGAGAGTCCAGCAGACAGTCGGGCAGACAATCAGCCCATCTGTCAGTCAGCCAGTGGTCATAGCTCATGTAGTCAATTCAATTTGACGGCTTACCGGCCAGTTGCACAAATAGTCAGGTTACCAGACTGTCAATCAGGAAGCTGGTCAGTGCATTAAGGACAGAAGGCAAATTTGAATATACAAGCATATACAAAGAGAGCACTCATCAGTGCAGCGTATTAGCCACCCAGAAGTTTTTTTTTCAAGTTATACTTTTTCAAATCATAATCAAGCAGAGAAAAAATTGATTAGTTTGAAAATGTTTTGGTAGCCTTACTGCCAACAATGAATGGGCTGCCTGAAAAAAGTTGCAAGTGACTTTGAAAAAGACAAGCAGTATATTATAGCTACAGCAAATCAGACTTCATCTTCTTCATCTCCAATAACTTCAACCATTACAGTTGCAGTAAAATCTCTAATTTGAAACTGCTTTGAGTTAGCCAAGGAGTAAAAAAATTTAGGATAGAGTTACGCTTTGTGAATGGCATCAAAAAAGTCACTTTTGATTCAGAATATAGATCGGGTTCAACAAACTGATAGTTTAAGTAATCATGAGTCAACTATACATACATACACACCGTAACGCATCACTCTAAATCTCAAATATTACACTTATTCTGATTGGATACATGTAACAAAAAAAACTACCTTCTTTAGAGGGATTTGTTTTCCGTACCCCTTTAGTCAGCGGTATTCAGTATTAAAGCAGACGTAATAAGCATTTACCTTGAAAGTACTAAAGCGGCCTGGTATCAAACACGTCTTCTTCCCCTGGACGGAACACGAAAAGAGATAGAAATGCAACGCGCTCATTTTTTCTCAAGCGATGCAGTACTAAATTGCACAAGTACAGAAAACAGAGCTGCCACTCATTACAGCTCATTTAATTTTGCTTGCTTGTGTTGAAGTGTTTTGAAACCTGAGGTACACAACATCAAAGTAACTATTTCCATTCACTGAGTTGTGGTAAGTGGCGGTTCTGTTTTCTGTATCTGGGCAAATTATTACTGTATCGCTTAAAAAACAAACAAACATGTAAAACGGCTCAATAAATTCATAAATGTTGGATTTTAGCATTGTATAAAAAGTTATGGCTCTTCGTTACGAGGAGGTATAATAATACTCAAGTGGTGTGTTTTTTTCCTCAATGTAATCAACTCCCGATGCGAATCGCGACCTTTCCACAGAGCACTTCAAGTGATCTTCAGCCAATTGAGTGGACTGATTATGCGTCACCTTATAAAGCATGTGTGGACCAATCTGAGTTTATCTCTTCTGATTTATAAAAAATGTTACCTTCCTCTACGACATCCATGTCAGGCTCATGCATCTCCTCTTCTTCTTCAGCTTTTTTAGCTTCTTTAAAAAAAATATTTATTTGATACAATGTAAGTTAGTATACAGTCATTAACTTTTGTTTTTGTACTTAGGAATTAAAATCATAAATGTTTCACCAATTTCAACACTAGAATTTTTCCAGTGACTACCAAGGGAAAACAGATGTTCTAATTACTCATAAAATGCCTTACTCTCTTGAGTGACCAATCAAAAACCATTATATCCTTTACCTTTGTTACTGGGTACTGAAATCTCTTCAATTTCCACCTGCTCCTCAGATTCAACAGCTGTGTGAAATCAGATTCATTGTTAAAATTCATAAGGTTAGACAACGCAGCCCATTGCCCGCTATCAAGTCAGAAACTTAGCCTTGTTGCTACTTACACTGTACGCTGGAATAAATGAGACCCATCTGGGACAAATGTTCTGTTCCTAAAAAGCAATTCATTGTTTTTACCTCCCTCAGTTGTCCTTTTAGGTTCATGCTTACTTCCTCCTTCTTCACCTGCACACAAATATTAAAGATATCTTGACGTTATAGAAAGTAAAGTATTGTGCTCACTGAAATCCGCAACAATCGCCTTATTCTTCAGCTATTATCAGAAGCTATAAGTAACACTGAAGATGAGTGTCCATCATTAAAAAGGTTCTTGTAAGTAGCTTAACCTTCGACCACTTCTGATAATTTTTTTAAAACCTTCCATAGGGTTAATTGCAATTGGAACTAGTGGTTCCTTAAAACTGGGCGATTCTCAACATCAAAAACTTCTGTTAGTGTGTAGAGACACTCCTACTTACAGAAAATGTCAACTATTACCTTCTCTTTATGTTCTTCGTCGATACTGGCTCTTGCAATGATGAACAGTGATTGCATTAAAGAATACCATCCATTTAAATAAACCGCGAGTTATTCCGGAAAGGCTCAAACGTTAATAACGCAAATATGTCTTAAGTCTTTGACAACAGCAAACTTTCCGACAGGACTTTTTTGATTGCATAGACCCGTTAGGTTTAGTAACTGAGGAAGGGTTTTGTGCCTTACGGGAAATAGTGGCCAAAAAGCTGCTCTCGTTAATTTTTTCATGAGACAGACTTAGAATCTGTGATTTGATTGGTGATTACGTGTTAATATGATAACCCTAATCTTATTGGTTTGACATACAAAACCATGCAATCAAGTGTACCAAGTGCGCCAGCTTGTTAGCACCAGCCACCTTTCGCTGTTTTGTAGAGTTATGACATTTCGTAAAAAAAAATGAAAATTGAAAAGGTGTTTACCTTCCAAATTCTTTGCAGAGGCTGGTCTGATGTCGAAATCATCCTCATAATCTGTTTTAAGGAACAAGTAGAGTAAAACATGACATAATGCTCATGGTTCATGTTTTATTTTGAAATAAATTTCTTTACAAATGCATTTTACGTACGTTAGATTTTCATATATTTATTCAAGTATTCATTGATTGATCAAATATCACTGAGTTACAAAGCTCAAATTTGAATCTGCAAGTTAATTAGTGCGCATGAAAATGGTAGCCGGAATAATACCTCTGCCAAAGACAGTCGGTTAAGACGCATTACCTTTCTTCATTTTGGCGATTCTTATGATCAGTTGTAAGGTGCAATATGCAGTTGAAGTCAACTTGTATAACTGTGATTTTTGCAGTACTTCTTTTGTAAATAGAGCGGTTGTCTATGCCTTCTTTTGATATTTCTTTCATAAATAATTTTTACCTGAGGAAGATGGATTCGCATCCCCCTCACAGGCTTGTTCAATCTCTGCCAACAGAGAATAGAGTTATCTTTAAGTTATTTTTCATATAATATAACTGAAAACTGGAAACAACGAATAATCATTGTCAATATATACGTATCATTCATTTACTACAATCACATCATATGGGGGACGATGGTATCTTCCTTCCATACTGGAATACTACATACTTTGGCACATTACAGTTTACTAATGTAAAGGAATGGTGATATCATGAGTGGAGGTGTTACAAGTGCATAAGGCAATTTATCACCAGAATATCTGGAGGTAACTTATCAATCAAAATTAATCCAACCTAATTTCATTACATTTGTGTCATACGAGAAACCCTTCCTTGATCTCTCCTTTCTCGAAGTGCACCTACAGCAACTATCAGAGCAGAAAAAGAATACTGTGGTTTCTAGGCATCTTATTTGAAAGAGCTCATATTTGATAGATTAATTGATTAGACTATACATACCTGGCAAGAGAGTAGAATTACAAAGTCAATTACAACATTGTCTTTGGCATAAAAAATTCTGCACTTATTTACTGACCTGGTTGGGGAGCAGGCAATACAGGGGCTTCCACTTTTGGGATTTCTATCTGTGCTATTAACTGCATTTCAATCTGTTCTCCTAGGGGGGAGAAAAATGGAAAAAAGGAATTAAGTACAGAAAAGAGGAAGGAAAGAAAAGTATCGCACATAGAACCCTACAGAGGTATAGAGGAGATATGTGATTAGATTGAGAAGCACTATATTTTTTACCCTCCTCGACGTTAGCATGTTCATCCCCATTTCCAATCTGTCCCTGCTGATCATTTTCTGCTTCTTTGATATAAAAAGTAACACCAATAAAAAATTAATGGTCATTGTCAGGTTTATCCAAAGGGAAAAAAAAAACGCTCAGACAAACAATTCAGAATGGATCGTCATTTAATAATTTCAGACAGAAGTATAGTGATTCATATTTTGAGAATTGTTTGTAGAATGAGGTTTTGCTAGCACCTTATTTTAAAAATTTGTCGCAAACGGCACCTATTCGTCTCAATGTTCCTGATGGTTAGTATCTCTAAAGCTGTGTATTAAAGAAAATCGAACTGAAATCATGATTTCTAAACGTGTCGTTGCCTTCATTAAACTTGATGATTTATTACATTGATCCCCTCTCTACTTAGAATCATGCTGGTTTTCTCCTCTACGTCTGCTACAACTTTACATATTGCCAGTTGCACCTTTGTGGTTTCAATAATTTGCTCAGTTTCTTATTCGAAAAAATTAAAAAATACATGAGTTTTCTACGATTTCATACCAGTTGAAAGCCTTATGAGTAAAAATGACATATGTTACTTAAAGAAAGCTGGGTTGCTAATACTCAATTTGGTGAAACTTAAAGTTTGTTCATTTCAAGGTTTGGAATACAATTATTGTTATCATGGTATTTTTCAATGGAGCTTAAAACTGTACCTTCTTGATTTTGTCCTCTGCTGAAAATAGATCGAACATTGGACCACAGCTTCCCCAGTTTTGCTTTCAACACAGGCTGAACCTAGACATTCAAAATATATTGAATAGTTTACGTAAAGACTTTCAAGTAACGTATTTAGAAGTCATGTTGGTCTCTATGGTTAAAGTTAACGGTGGAGAAGCTAAAAAAATCTGTCCGATCATTTACTTTTTCATGCTTGTTTTGTATGTCAATCGTTACAATTACAAAATTAAGTTGCCAGCCTGCTCTGACACGAAACCAAATTTGAACATAACGGTAGGTGCTATTCCAAAGTAACCGAAAAAGAAACGTTACCTGTGGAGTAGAAAGCGTATACAGCAATGGGTTGATAGCTGAATTGATCGGCAGAGCGAACACTGCAATCCACACTGCCAGATCACCAGGAGGATCAAATGTTTTCTCGACGTGGGACCGGATGCCGATAGCAATGATTGGCATCCAACACAAGAAATCGGTCAGAATAATGAAGAAGACTCTTTTGGCAAGTGTTCTTTCTCTTTTAGCTTGTGCACTTTGTGCTCTTGCTCGTATTTCACGAACAGTTCCATGTGCACCAAGCCGTCTGCTTGACGACCATGATTTCCACAAGATGGCAACGTAAGCAACCGTGATGAAGATGAATAGGGAAAAATTCAAAACGATAAAAATGGAAGTGGAGTATTCCCAGCCTTCTTGTAATTCAGGGGAAAGCTGCAGGGGCAGGCACACTACATTATTGCCATAGTACCAATCGCTGAAATAGTGCATTCCAGACAAGGGAAGGAATGCCATAACGCCTCCCACCAGCCAGATAACTACGCACATTAGACAGGTCTGCCTTGGGGTAATTTTTGCAAAGGTGTAAGGAAACACGATGTTCTTGAGTCTGTCCAATGCGATCAGAGAAATCATCATCACTGACACTTCACTTGAAAAGACAGACATGGCACCATTGAAATGGCAAAACCAACCGGTGCGCCACTCATAGTCATGCAGGTAGTATTCCCCTGACCATTGCAGGTCTTTTATGCCAATAATGATAAGGTATACCCCCATGATGCCGTCAGATACACCCAGATTCACCAACATGATAGACTGGACCACATTGTTATCAGGGTAGAAATACTGCCACCCAACTACGAATAAAGACCCTAGCAACGAGAGAAGACCGACAATCCAAAGAGTTCTCCTTGGAGCATGGTGGCGGAACATGGAGTGGCAGCTTGCGAAATTGTCATTGAAGGAGTATTCGCAATCAGCATCCTGCCTGAAAAGATCGAGATGGCAGCACATCAGGTTGGTGTCCAAAGTTCTGGAATTCGAAAAAAGAAGAAAAAAAAGAAGAAATAACACTATCATTGCATCATAGAAATCCCTTAATAATCATTAATTGATTAATAACATAGACTATTATTAAAATAATTGTTTGAAGGGATGAGTGAAGGAAAGGATCGTCATGGAATCTTACACTCTGATGATGTGCGTCAAATGCTTGAAAAAGCCTTTGGGGAGCTCGGCCATCAGGTTGTAATGCATGAACCTGTGATTTAAAATAATCATAATGTGAATTTTAAGTTGGTTTATATCATAAATAACCTAAAAAAGTGAATTTCAATAATAAGATTCATTAAGTTAATGTTAATGTTCAAATTGACTGTCCAAAAAGACAAAATCAGGAACCTAGCTGAGGATCTTCAGTACGGACCCTAGCTTGATGTTATCTCAAAGATTCTTTCAAAAGTAGTCATTTAGCCTAAGATAAGTCTCGTCTTCCTTTCTTGGAAATTTTTGATGGCTACTGATTTTATGGACGTGGCAGCCCATTCGGTTGAGGTCGTTCGCTGTACATCTTTCCGGACTCTTCCAGGGAAAATTCCTTTAGTACATTTATGTTGTTTTCCAAAATTACTTTGCACGAGTTTTTTCTTTGACAAAACGAAATCAAAAGAATGTTATCTGATTTCAATATATGCAACTAAGTTTAGTTGCCTAGATAAACATCTGTCATTTGCAGTAAACTTACAACATTCGCAATTCGTGGGCATAGTTGAAAGTCGTGCTGGTAACGTTTTGTATCCTATTGCCGAAGATATTCCTGAAACGAAGAACGTAACTATTTACAACTAACACCAAAACGGGGACTTGCAGCAGTCACATTCCTCATTCTAATAAATTCTCATGGAATTTCAGTTAAGACTACATAGATCTCCACAATGTTTGTTTCCGCTTTTTCTTAATATCCAACTAGGTGCACCAAAAGTATGTTAGATAAAGGCACATTTTTAGTGCAATATAAATTAAAAAAACATTGCTTTGTTGAGGAAGATAACTGGCACCACCCCTGTTCTACATCGTGGTAAATTTGTAGACAAAAATCTCAGATTTTGAACGCTGATATCATATTCATTCTATCACTTCAAATATTCTGGAATGTTTTGTATGTGATTAACTGTACTTACAGAGATCTGAGCTTTTTAACGCCCTTGAAAATTTTATCAGGCAGAGCCTCGATTTTGTTCTCCGAGAGATATCTTAAACAAAGGAAACGGATAAGGAAATAAATATTACAGTACAGTAACATAATATGATTAGGTAAGGCAAATTTTATTTGAGCAATGACGGAGTTAACAGTAAAAAAATATTACTGTATACGGTTTGAGATTCAGATCATTGTGGAAAATGGTTTAAACTCTAAATGCACTTACAAATCTAATAGCTCCACCAAGCCCTGGAACTGATCTTCATGAAGCTTCTTAATTTTGTTGTACTCCATTTTCCTGAAGAAAGCATTATGTGCAGTTTAGAATGAAATGTGTAGTGATATCTTTAGCTCTACTTTTTTTTTGGAAGATTTGCGGTTAAGGCAGGGAATGGCAACGTTTTCCAGTAAAATAGCTCCCAGTCTTTATATCTTAATCTTCAAAGAACACATGAGACATATCTATAATGATCTCAAGATTAAGCGCGAAAACTCTCAAGTTCACTCTCTGTTACAAATTACAAAATTAGTGCCAGGGTAGTTTGATGTGGCAATACAACAAATTCTTAGATATTGTCAACTCAGATAAAAAGGAAACAAAACAACCTTTGCCTACCAGAAGTAATTTACAATGTAAGTTGTCATTCACTGAGAAGCTTTTATAGTCACCAAGTGCTGTTATTTTCAAGAAAATCTTAAAAAACAATTCTTAATATTTTGGGACGATATCAATCTTACTTACAGAAATTTTACCGCTCTTATGTTTTTGAAAGCATACGCTGGCAGATTTTCAAGTTCATTGTTTGATAAATCCCTGAAAACAATTATTACACAGTTACTAAAATTTCGCTTATGTTAGAGCTACCAACTGAAATCTGGGAATTGTTGAGGTTGCTATTAAATCAGAAGCTATTAAATTCTTACACCACAAAGTAACTTAACATTACTAACCGAAGCACAAGAAATACATAAGATAGCATCGTCTACTTCAATTAAGATTTGCAGATACGAGCTGGAAAACTTCATGATGTTTCAACAATGAGGGCTGTGCTTTTAAAAAATATATTTTAAGAATGATCATTTGTTTCTGTCCAATTATCTCCTTGGTTAAATAACTAACTCACTTACAAATATGTCAGCTTGGAAAGGCTGTTAAAAAGTCCGTCTGGTAGACTCTTCAACTTGTTATTTGACAGATAGCTGATAGGAATGACGAAACAAGAAAATGCATTTTCATTAAATACATAAAGATTCTGGTCATCAGAAACAACCAAAGAACAAAGAGAAGTACGTAGTGATACACATGCAATGTTTTGTCTTACAGTATAGAGAATATTCAAGAGTCACTTCATTCATTTAGTTTGGTCAATGTTTATGACAAAAAGCAATTGAAGGCCGCTGAAAACTTGAAATCTGTGTGCATACTGAACTCTTTTCCCTAACACTGGCAATGGCTGCCTCTTGGATCAATAATGAAATCATTAAGCTCGTGATGTAAGAAAATATGCCAACATGGTTCAAAACAGAGAAAGATAACCCATAAAAACAACTCTGATATTCATAACATGCGTGAATTTCATTGTTGTATGTATGATCGTTGTCACTGAAATGTTAGTTCAGCAACAAACACAAAATTCTAGATGGTTCAATTTTAAAACGTGTTATAAGTGCAGATGGGAAGATTTTATAAGCTGCAACTGGAAAAGATTTTCTTTCTATATGCTCTAATTAGAGAAAGGGACGAAAAGTATGATACTACCAGAATCTGTGTTAAAATACACTAGCAGTGATTTAACAAAAGAAAGGAAAATTTTACTAAGTGTTGGAACACTTTATTTAGTCATTGAGTTAAAACAAGGGAAAACTTGGAATGAAATAACTTACAGTTCTTTCAAGCTTTTTAGATCTTGGAATAAATTAAGAGGCAATTCCGTGAAGTTGTTGTCTTGCAACCATCTGTGTTGAAATTAAAAAAATATATATGTGACCTGTATGTAAAATATGTTTAGTTTCATTAAAACAGTTATTTACCGAATCGTCTTTTGATCACTGAGTGGAAGGGAAGAAAAGAGAAAGGAAAAAAGTTAATTTGAAAAACAAGTATAGACAAGGCGGTAAGAGAGGGGAATGCTGCTGCGTTACAAAAACAGTTTTCCTTCCACAGCAGTATTGATACACTAACTTACAGTTCCTCTAGCATTGTCAAGTTTTTGAAGGCACTTCCATTCAACCCTTTCATGTCGTTGTCATTCAGGTGTCTGCGTTATTTACCATATAAAACTGACGATTAGTTTAAAGATCCACCAGAAGTTTATCTGCTTAGATAGGGGTACTACTGAAACCTTTCAGGGCTGTTGTCGAAGACAGTTACGGTTGTTTTGACTTGTGAGCAAAAGTCGGCATCACTGTCATTGAGCGAAGAGTTGTTTGTGCTAACTTCACCGTTTACTCATTTTACAACATAAGATTATAATCAAATTTGACATAGATATGGAAATTTGTTAATGATGGAAATTGGAATGATCTTTTTATTTAATGAAGGCACTTCTTGATGCCTTTTATACAGAGGACAGAATCTCATAAACGGTCAGTCCTGGACAAAGATCCAGAATGCAACAGTAGATATGTGATCTTCATGATATTTCATATTAATTCTTGATTTACGAAGCGAAACGAATGATCTGATAAATTTAATAAAACAACGACAACAACAAAAAGCAGTTGGAGGCCTGTAGAACTGTTGTGCAGCTGGTCTGAGATTAGAGTTCTTATTCTGCAGGTGCAAAAGTTGACTAGTAGTGTTAATTAAAGATGAATTTATTTTGTACTTAAATAGCTACATATTATGAATGAAATATTTGCAAATTTTGTCAATCTTATTAACGCTTATATTGCATCATTAAGAATCTAGAAGCGCGGATCAGACAGAAAAAAATTAGGTTACTTACAGAAACCTTAGCTGTGTGTTCTTGTCAAAGATTCCTGGAGGTAGGTGGTGCAATTGCATTTCAGACAAGTACCTATGAATTCGACGAAAATTTAGCACACTAAATAAAGGCCAGAGCTGGGATGCATATAAAGTAATAAACCAGATGACTAGTGGAATAAACTCAGTTTTGAAATGCAGCTTGAGGATTGTGTAGACAACTCAAAATTATTATTATTGAGATTTTACCTTGAAATCAAAATGGTGCAGCCATGTACATATCTTTTAATATTCTCACTTGTCAAGATGAGCAAGGTTTTGTCTGTCGTGCTTATCCTAACTCAGTTATGTACCCTTTGACGGAGAAACAAGCTACTCATAAGGTCTCGAAAACAATCCTCCAGCTACATCGGTCTTAGGCCACCTTTCGGGCCTTTTCCCATGATAGATGAACTGAAACAGGCTTTCTTTTTTTTTTGGCGGTTCATCTTACGATAATTTGCGGTTCCCCGTTTCCTTTCCGAATCTGTTGCTCCGAAAACATACAGAAAGGTTATCTTTCTGATTCTCGAATACACCATCGTATTTTCCTCCTTACATGATTCCGAAAGTTCTTGCGATATCTTGTCTTGTATTTTGATCCTATTTTCTTAAGAAATAAGTTTCATTTTGACCTGCAGATGAAAATCAAATACAAAACTGATCTTCGCAGGCGCGGTTGTGCAATTGCACCTTACCTGCAAGGATCATTGCTTTGCTTGATTTTCATCCGCAAAATTTATTTCATCAAAAAATATGATAATATTCCTCTACGGGATAGAAGAACCCTCCAAAATGTGCCCTGATCTCAACGAGTGGCGTCTCAGCTCAGTTGATTGAGGCACCCCACTAGGTTTGGGGAGGCACGGGTTTGAATCTTGTTGAAGCCTAAATTTTTGCTCGGGCTTCTCAGTTTTTGCAATTGTATGAAATACAGGTCAACTTCGAGGATCATTGTCCAATTTATTTTATTTTATACTCTTTCCTTAAAGCCTTTCTAATGTCGTCATATGATCTGTTAGTCTCAGCGTATAATCATAATATCAGAGTGAAATTTTTCTTGTTTTTCAAACTAAAAGTGGTACCCAAACATTTATAAACACGTAATAGTGGGTTAATGTGTTTTAAAATACAAAGAAAAATATTGTTTGATGTCCCTTAATAGAGGAAAAATTAACTTACAGCCAAATCAATTTAGTATTTGTAGCGAAAATGTCAGATGGCCAACTCTTCAACGGGTTATCAGACAAGTCTCTGAAAGATAAGAAACAAAAAAAATTAGAAATGCAATTTGAAATTGTTAATAGTGGCCTTCTTTAAGCTGTCAGTTTGGCATTGTCAAGTAAAACATCGATATGCATAAGAAATTTGTCATACTGATAAAAAGAATAAAGAAAATAAATGCTTATCCGGTAAAACGCTCTTAACATAAATCGCCTCCTTTTCATGTCAGAATGTGTCACTTAATTTACGTGAAAGACCTTTACGTTTACTCACGGTCAATCCTTGTGGAATTACAAGATTATGATTATAAATATAGACACTGACACGAAGTCTACCAAGTAAAAACGTCGTACTTCTACCTTCTGTACTTCTAAAAGATTAAAATATAGCAAGTCATAATACAGATTTCCATGGATGCCGTGCTACAGATATAATGAAAGGAGAACTGACTAAAAAATTGGGACGGTTTATTAAAGTTTAAATTCTGTCAGCGATGACGCTTGACGCAAGTGACGACCTAAGCTATTTCACAACACTGCATTGCCGTAACTAGAGCTTCACTTCAAAAATTCTGAGAGGAGAAGTGCAATTATGATCCCAGTATTTCTCAGATTATAAGAAGTAAGTCGTTCCTTTCAATGAAATTGGACTTTACATATTCTAAAGGCTTGCTTTTTCCTTTTTTCAATTGTTTTTAAGTGGCTTTGTAATATGTCAATTTGCTTTCCATCTCCGCCAGTTTAAGTTCGAGAACCCCTCGATTATGTCCATCTAAATGAATTGGTTGGTTCATGATCAGTTGATTCTCGATGAGATTGATTTCCGACCGGACAAATTTGGACCTCAGAAATAATTCCACTTTTCGACGAAGCTTTCGGTTGCCTGGTGCCACGCACAAATTTCTCGTGGTCCTTGTTCACGCTTTTAGATCCCATCTGAGCGTTTTCAACTGTCGTCGTATTTCTTGAAGTCCAGTAGACTTATTGCGTACAGAATCTATGGGCGATTTCTTGAAAATTGTCAGGTGTTACAGAGAGAGACTAGGCCTTACTTGGTATTGCCACATGTGGGTTTGTCTAGCTGTTTAGTCTAACTTTTGCAACAAGGAAGCCTTCCGAGATTGTGTTTTTCAAGCTCTGAAGCGCTGAGGGACAAGTCTGTCTGGATGTCCTTGAATTAGTTGTCTGGAAGGTAGTGATAGGTATGTGGGCGTTCGACCTCTACTTCTGGGGGGGAACGCTCACAGTCCTTTATGTAACCTCTTGACAAAGTGTTGGCTGTCAGCATACCTTTCCTAGGCTTGTAGCGTATCTCGTAGTCATACTGCTGAAGTCGCGACAAAAGCAGTCCGCAGGATGACTTTCTTACCGAACACATATAGGTGGTTACGCTGTACACCAAGGACAGGGGCAAAAAAATTCCTTCTCGATCTTTGAGCACTTCCTCACTGCCAACGGGAGTGCCCCACTTCTAGATGTCACTGCTTGACCATGCTCCATCAGTAAAAAGCTAAGCCTATCCTTGGACGCATCTCCTTAGTCCTCTTTTGGGTCACTCTCGCTGAAGTACTTGAATATTGGTGCTTTGAATCTCTTGAGTTCAGATCCACTCGCATTCTTGTGTGTCAGGCGGCGTAATGGTCTCACATTTCTGAAAGGTTTTGAAGGAATTTAGGAAGGTGCCTCACTAGCCCTATAAATCTCTGCACTGCTGATACATGTGCTGTTCGCTCCATCTGGACTGTTGCATCCGATTTCCTATGCTCTGCCTTCGAATTCAATCCATTCTTTGTCATCACATGTCCAACGAATGGCACTTTGCTTCATTTGAATTCGAACTTCTCCTTCTCCAGCTTGATGAATTTTGCTCAGCAATGGTCTTACCCTATTATGACTGAAATTTGTTTAGCGCTCGTAAATTGTGTTCGTCTTGCCTCGCGGTAATTAGTCCACGACTCTAAGACTTTATCGATCCTACCTTTCTCTTCCTTGGAGGCAAATGGTGAACCAGAGTTAATATTGACGGCTTCTGACCTGATACATTTGATGAAAGACGCTACTCGGTACTGCGAGTATAAATTGAGGGTAAATTCCATGTTTGAAGCCAATTTTTCCAATTCTTTTCCAGATCCACAAAAAGATCTAGCCTCAGAAGAACTGGTAAACAGAAGTGAAGATTTGCTGCGGTGTTTGGGGCTTAGAACTAATGCGCCGCAGCTGCTATTTGCTTGGGACGTCATATTTGTCTAGGTTCTGTCACCGTGTCTCGGTTTAAAGTCAGCTTAAATTCGACTAAAACACAATTTAAAAGTTGCTATATGTCTTGCTGAGAATTTGCACGCCACCATTAGCGTTAGCAGCCCGACATATCGGAAAAGACAGGGTAAACAGAACTTTAAAAAAGAGTTGATGGCCTACCATCTCAAAACACATAGTTCTACCAAGTCACGATAGGACTCTTAGAGAGCCTTACTGAGAGACTCGAATAAATGTTATGAGTTTTCTTGTTGTTTTCCAGGCCTTGTACATTCATAGAAAATAGGCACCTTTCATGCGCTTTACTTTTTACGCGAACTAATACAGTTTTAACTGGTAAGTAGTTTTGACCTCTAGAGGCTTCAGTTAAAAAACCGGTCACATTGAGAACATTTTTTAGGGAACGAGGAGTAACTCGGATGCTATTATCATTTAGTAATTTGTGTACTTAAAATGTGACCAGACTTTGCTTTGATTTGTCACATAGCAGCCTTGAGACTTTGTCATGTTACTGCATTGATGTTGTTTTGTTTATCTTCCGGCCTAAGTAACGAACTTTTCCTTATAAGCACATTCAAAATCAAGCTCGATTCAACGAGACAACGAGGCGCCCTTTCCTTAAAATAGCAAAAATTGGCCTCTGGTGGCCATTCACTACCCCCTTTTCCCAACTCGACGGTCTAAAGGGAATCAGGCTAAGAAGTGCTTGAATGAAATACTATATATTAATAATTAATGATTGATCAGATTTTATCAGGGTAAATATTCACCAAGTAATTAAAAAATTATATTACTCCTTCATATAAGATAGATTCCAAGCTTAGCTTTTTTTTATTCGGAGCTGAAGAGTCATGAAAACTGATGTATCATACATTAATATAAATCTGTGACTTTGGCGACAAAGTCTATAAATTTAATGCCTTAAATGTCACTAACTGTCCCTGAAATTATGTGTTTATGTACTCTTGCCTTCCTTTCGACTTATTGATATTTTAGTTTGTTATTTGGGACATATGAAACAGCTATATAACAAGTTAGTAGAAAAATTATACGCGTCCACTTATTCATCGCCCAGAATTCAGCGACATATTTGGGACTTTCATTGAGATGCTGGCGCTAAATTTAAAAGCTAATTAGAAAGTGATGGTCAAACAATAAAGGAAAAGGGCTGAAAATATCGAGGAAGGCTTACGTTCTCTTCGTTTACGGATAAACTACTTTTCAAATGCTACTTTTACCATATGGCTTTTAAAGAAGAAAGTTCAATTGAATAGAGTATCATTCTCACTTCGTTCTTGCGCTTTCAGAAGAGGTCGCAAATTTGCCTTGAAAATTGACTATGTTAGCATCCTGCTTGTATGAGAAGTCGATCTCAGCGCACTTTCAGGCGTAATTTATCTTCACTCAATTGCTAGATTTCTCTTTTACCATATGGTAATTTTTATTTGACATTCTACAAAGCGTCATAGAAATTTTCAAGGGATTCCAAACTTTGGAAGTAGTCGCAAAACGCGAATTTCGAAAACGTTTGCTAAGCATCGTAGTGTTCTATCCAAATTTGTC